TTTATAAATTTACATTTATTTTAAACCCTGAGGCATGTCGCTCTCCATAAAGGAAACATTGCTGTCAAGGGCACTTAGACAAAGTCACTCAGTTTCTGGGTGAGAGCTCAGTGTAGTTTAATAAGAGCTCCAGAGTAACAGCCTAACATGCTGCACAGCCCATGTTGGCAGCAGGGACCCCCGCCATGGAAGGAGGCAGTGGCTTGCTGCATTGAGAGGTTCTGGGTGGTGCTGAAGGGTGGGTGCTGACAGTGTTTAGGATTGCACTGTAGTGTTTGCTGCTTTTCTTCAAATCTAAACTCATGTCTCCCAGTGATGCTGACTGCCTCTTACAGCTTCCTTTCATCTGTTTGCTTTTTAAGTAGTTTTCTAGCTTTCATGTTTGTAAAGAACACCTGAAATTCAATACATCAATATTATTTAAAAAAAAAAAAAAAAAAGGCAAGGAAAAAAAACTCATCCAGACTGTTTACACAACCTTAGGGCTCTTAAACAGGTTTGGTGGTTTCTGGAAGCCAGGGTGCTTCTGGAGCCTGCAGCCATGCACCATCAGAGGGCACGGGGATCACCCAGGCGGTACCCAGCTGCAGAGGGCAGGGCGGCAGAGTGGCCCTGGCTCTTCCCCAGCCTTTGTGTGACCTTCCTCTGTGGTGTGCCTCCGTTTCCCTCTTTGCGTCTCTGTTGAAAAGGAAGTTTTGACACACTGCTGAGTCATCAGTTATGGAAAACAGGTAGCTCCTTCAAACACCCACGGTGGTGCAGGAGGACAAGAGGAAACAGGAACACCCAAAGGCAGTGCCACATTTTGAGTCTGCACTGTTCATCACTGTCCCTCCCCTTCCTTCTCTGGAAGGCCTTCTCCATGGAAAATGTGCTCTGCTCCAAAACCTTGTCAGCATTGCCTGATGAAAAATCCTTCACACCCACCACCTTTCAAGTGTTCAGAAAAACACTATCTGCAGTTATTTACAGGAATTAGAGACTCATTTCATGAGCTTAGGCATTTGGCTGTCCTGGGAAAATACCAGTCTGAAATACAGACCAAGATCCTGTGAAAGAAAAGCTCTTGCTGTGCCCTTGGACCAAGTCATCTCTACCACAGGACACGCTAGTACAACACATACTGGCCAGGTTCAGCTTTGTGATCTCAGGCAGGTGAGAAGAGATCACAGGAGACAGGCTCTGCCAGTTGCCACCTCCTTGCAGGGCTGCCTGTGCATGAGTTGAGCATGATTCACCCACCCCCTTGCCTGCACCGCTGCCGGCTTTGCAGCAAGCACAGTGAGGGGCAGGGGCTGCAGTGACTCACCTGACACTGGCTACAGAACAAGGTGATCTCACTGACCCGCGAACCTATGGCCTCACGGGCACCAGACGACTGCCGCTGCCCGCCGGGAGCAGGCTGTTGCTCACATCCCCTTCTTCCAGGACAGCAATGACCAGATGCTGCCACCGACACCACCTCTTTTCCCAGCAGCAGCAGGAGGGGATCAACAGTGACGCCCAGTGAGATGCAGCACGTTCAAACACGGAGGAATGTGGAGCTGGGGTCCGGAGCAGGCCAGTGCTGTCCCATCTTGGCCTTCAGACATGCCTAGGGCTGTCCCTCTCCAGAGGTGGTGTGTCCTGCAGTGACAAGCCAAGGACCCCCAAGCTGCCTACCAAATCCAGTACAAAGAGGTCAGAGTACCTGTGCACCCCACTCCACCGATTGGGGCATTTGTGCAATGCTGGTGCCGTTCAAATGGCTCTGGTGACTACAACACAAAAATACATTTCACTGAGGTTCCCCAAGAAAAGAAATACACATCTCCTCTGCTATGGTCAGCCTGGGTCTGTAGGACCCTTGGGAATAGATCTGATGTGCTTGTTCCTGTGGTTGCACATCAGCCCGGACACTGCCTAAGCTGCACTAGTCAGAGACCGGCAAAACCTGCATGGTGAGTGGCAGCTGTAGCAGGGGGGCTCAGCTGCAGGAGGCAGCAGGGCTGGGGTGCCCTGGGAGCCTCGCAACTTGCCAGAGATGTGCGCTCTCTCGCCAAGAACAAACATCTCCATCCTCACAAACGGTTAACCTGCCGGGAGCTGCACAGCACTAATGACTTCACATGCATTTAATCAGCTTGGGCTTCCAGAGCCTCCTCCTCGGGAGCAGGAAAGGCCGTGCACCAGGGGTGCAAATGCTCCCAAAGCCGCACCCCCCCTTACCAATCATTAATCACTGCCGGGCCGGCAACACGAGCGAGCAGCAAGCAAGCAGGAAAAGGCCAAGTCTCCGCAGCCCCCACGGGAGCAGCGGGAAGCAGTGCTGACCGGTTCCCTGTGGTGGCAGCTCACTCACTCCTCGACCACCCTCCCCTGGGAAGTCCCGGTGGAGGTGGCCAGTCCCACAGCACGGCCCTTCAGGAAGGTCACTGGGTCCTGGGCGCGGGAGGCTCTGCGCGGCTGGGAGCTGTTGGGCTACACATGAGGCAGGAGTTCTGAAGAGCAGCTTTGTCTTCTTGGCACCACAGTCTTCTTCTCTTCACCATGCGGCACAAGGCATTTTGGAGTGCCCTGGAGTACACCTGCCGATTGCTGGGCATCTCCACGGCAGCAGGTAAGAGTGAGCTCTCTTTTTCTTTGGTATTAAAAGGCACTTGAGTGGGTGTTGGGACCCCAGAGCAGTCTCCCTGCCTTTGGCCAGGAGCAACCACTGCCCCATTCTACAAGGGGGACAAGGATACTTACTCACTTTTGCTTTGAGACCCAGGGAGGGAGAGTTCTGGGTGCCTGGCCAGGTTCTTTCCAAATGCTGTGGGAGGCACAGTGAGACATCAGAAAGGAAAAAACAGCATTCAGTATGGCAGAGGACAATCTAAAGCACAAGTGGAAAACTGAATTATATTCCCGTAAAACAGACATGGGCACAGGCAAGATGTGAATGAGACTGAAAAGCAAAGTATTCATGGCTGTGAAAACTGCCAAGCTACTCTGTGACAATGAAGGTGGAGCTCCTTGTGCTGTGCACAGAGAGATGTTGTGTGCCAGGCAGGATGGAGAGGTCCCAGCCATCATGGCACAGTTGCTGCCTAAGCACTGCTCTGCCTCACTAACAACCCAACAGGGAGCAGGCTCAGGAAGAAGTTCAGGTTATAGATGCAGTACAAACATTATAAATTAACCCATCTGCATAGTTGCATCCTCTCACCTGCTGCCAGGGGCTGCTTGGGACCAGCGTTCTTTGGGTTTGGTGACACGTTCAAGCACTTGGTTTCAGGTGAAATGCAAATGTTTTCAGCCGGGTGTCTTAGGCACAGCACCTCACCCAGAAGAACTCTCACATGGGACATCTCTGGATGGGATGTTGGGAAACAACTAACACAGAGTGCTCAGGAGTTCATTCTGGCACTGCTGCTGACTCACTGTTATGGGACAGGACAGACTGTGCTCTCTGCCTCAGTTTCCTCATCAGTAAAGCAGAGATCAAAGTGCCTGATTTGCCTAAAGGCTGGAGGTGTGAACCAGAGGTTCCTGGTGAGAGGTGACCTGAGGTGGTGTCTGTGATTCCTGTGTCAGACCCCCAGGAATTTCAGATTCAGACATTGCAGAGTAGGTCACAGCAGGCCCTCCTACCTTCGCATTTCCTTTATAAACTGCAGACAGCCATGAGAGACACTTTGCTCAAGTTAGGGGCAAAGTAGAAGGCACACAGGTCAGCTGAAGAGAGCACAGGTCCCCAAGGACACCCAAAGCCCAGCTGGAATGCTGCAGGCTGTACTCTGGAATGTGCTTTAACTGACTGATAATGGGCAGAGATTGGAGTCTGGATTTATAAACTCCCAGTAGATAAATGCACATCATGATGAGACTATAACAGATAGGAGCTGGGACACAGCTTTAACCAGCAAATGCAAATCTCTTCCCTTCTCCATTCCCATCCCCCACGGGCTCATATGAGCCCATGCTGGTCATATTCTCTCTTAAATCTCCAGGGAAACTCATAGAGACCTTCCTGGGAGAAAACATGAGCTTGTTGCCACGGGAAAACTAAAGCTAGAACAGCAAAATTGAAAGTAGCTTACAATTTTGAAGTGTTTTAGTGTAATATATCTCTCCTGCTTGTTTTCTTTTCATCATTTTGCATCACCTGCACCTCTTTCTGTAGTTCTTGAAATGAGCAGTGCAGTTGTCTCTCTGCTGAGCATCACAGAGCACAGACAGCTGTACTACTGATCTCTGTGCTTTTCCATAGCCCTGATGCATTCCCAGTATCACCTGACTTTTCAAAAAGGCCAGTGAAGAATGAGACGTGCCTGTGTTTTATTCCTCTATGTGTCTCAATGGAGTAAGAAAACAGCTTGATGCAGTGTTTAGTGCCTGATGAGGTGTGTGAGGTTTCTGCATGAAATGGAAACCATGCAGAAGTGGATCTCAGGGGTTTTGTTTTTTTAAAAAAAAAACAACTATGAAAGGGAGAGAAGAGTGCATCAGCCTCACTAATTGATTCTGAGAAGGCCTGGCCAACTCCATCCCTTGCTTGCAAACACAGAAGGTTACCCTCATAATAAAAACCTCCCCTTCCCCAAGGGTCCGGGAGCATAATGGCTGTCTGCAATGGTGGGGCTACAGGGTTTCTTGTGTGTGAGAAATCAGACAGCCCTGCTGTGGGCAGAGCCTCATGGCAAGTCAGTGAAGAGTGATCAAACAGCCCTGCTATTTGCTGCAGTGTTTGGTGCATCTCTGTAGTTCAGAGATTTTAGGCCTTATGATTTCTGCATCTAGGAGAGAGTCCTTACTTATTTCTTAATTCTCATGCTTTCAACCACTTAATTCCTAATCATGTGCCTTTAGCCACATGCTTTGGACAAGATCCAGATCAAGGCAGCAACTAGTCCAAACAAACACCTCAGAAAGAGTTCTATGCTTCTTGCAGATTCTTCATCCAAATAGCTTTGTGGATAAAGCAGAAGCTGTGCAAAATGAGGAAACCTCCCCATCCAGAGCAGAGACTCAAGCGTAACAGCAAGCTGGTGAATTCTGCATTCATCCACAGGGAATGAATGAATTGAATGAATGAACTCCACATTTGTAGGGAAGATTATAAAGAAGGGTTCTCAGTCACGAGACAGTAAAGGACAATACTTTGCATGTAGGATTACACAGCTCACACAGCTTCACAGTCTTCTGATGAGGCTGATTTCCCCAGGCCTCTGCTCAGGGCTGGAGAGGCAGCGTCTGTGGAGGAGGGTGGTGCACAGGCCCTGAGCATGCCCCTGGCTGACAGGGGCCAGCAGCTGCAAGTGACACAGAGGCAACAAAAGCAAGACTGCAGCACCCTGATGGGACTTTGCTTGGCTAGGACAGGAGAGCTGTGTGCTCAGGCACAGACCCTCACTGTTGACCACTGACTGTGTGGGCTTGATGGACACTGGTCTGCATCCCTGTTTGGGAGCCTGGTACCAGCTGGGACTCAGAGAAATGAAGCCAACCGGCACCTCAAGTGTGCATTGAGCAGGACCAGCACTGAAATTCCTGAGCACCAGTGGATGGGCAGGAACTGCTCAGTGAGATACAGAGATATCAAATGCAGACAGGAGTGTTATGACTGCCTAGGGTGATGCCCTGGCCATGAGACCTGGGCTCCACTCAGCTTCATGCCACTGGCACTTCTGCACTGTGACCAGCTGGTCATGTACTGGCCAACTTGGTGCAGCTGGTGCGAGGCAGTGATTTGTGTTCCATTTTGGAAATAGCGAATTGAAGGATGTTGAACAAAATTTTCCATCCCCTGAAGCTATTGGCCCCCAATAAGGAGTCCAGAGAAGATTTTAGCCTCACTAATACTCTTAATCCCCTTTAAACTGACTCCCCAGTGTGCTGTGCTGGCCGGGTTTTAACCTGGTTAATTCATTCCCTGGTTTTAACCTGCCTGCTCCCATTATATGTTTTTATGTTTGGCTAGCAAAGGATCTTGATGCCATGGCTACAGCTTTCTGTGAAGCCACATGTTGGGTACAGCAGTCCTGAGTGAGCAGAGCGGGCGGGGGAGTGAGTCTGACGGGCACTGGGGGTACCTGGGCAGAGAAGTCCCCAGACCAGGACAGAGCAGAGGTGGATGGGGCAGTGGGAGGGAAGTCCCTGTGGCAGCCGTGATGGAGCAGCATGGCAGAGGTGGAAGGGACAATAGGACACTGCTGCTCACCTCTCCCAGCTGTCCAAGGCCAGCTGGTATCCACATAGCACCTCTGCCAGCCCACACAGTGGCAAGGCTGCCGTGATAGGGATGCAGCTGGGATGGGTTTCTGGGCTGTATGTCAAGGCCAGCATTCAGCTCTGACCCCCCGGGCTGGTGTGTCAGCATGAATCACAGGTGCTGGCAGTCCTAACGTTAGCATGGGAGGAGCAAGCCTTGCCTGCCCCTGGGGAAACGGGGGCATCGATCCTGGAAGCTGGTAGGGCACCAGAGCATTAGGAACTAACCCTGCAGTCAGCATCTTTCCTACCTTCTCTTTCTAGTGCTGATCGGTGTGGGCGTAGAAACTCTGCAGCGAGGACAGTTCAAAAGCCTGGCTTTCTATCTGCTGTGAGTATTTTTGCCCTTGAAGTCAGAGCTAGCGGGAGTGACACATTCGACCCCTCCACCATATCTAGCACTGGACTAGACTGCAACAACAGCAGGGAGCAGTGTCTGAGGCTTTCAGGACTTCAGATCTCCATATTTAAGTTTCAGAAAAGTAAGCTATTTCTGTAAGAGAAAGTGATGCTACTCCCCCACCCCTTCTACTGCAGATTCAGGCAGGCCAGAGGTGACACTGGCTGAAAGTTGATCCCCTGGGGACAGAAGGGCTTTGAAGTCTCTTCCACAAACCAGCTGAGTGGAGGGTGTTCAGACCTCAGCACACTGACTGTTGTGAACTGGATAGTAAATCCTGGCCCTCTATGCCTCTTCTGCCACCTGGAGAGCATACTCAAGCCCAGCCCTGCCCCCCTGACAGCTCCACCTTTCAGTTTTTCAGGGGTTGCAGTTACTGTCTGTGAAGGCTTCTTCTTTGTCAGTTTGTTCCTGGAGATGTGCTTCACGTGAGTAGACCCTGTCCAGTCTTCTCAAGCCTTGGTGGGACCTCCCTAAGGCAACTTGCCCCTAACAGGGAACACCAGACCTAGCTGAGCTGCAAACACCAGACCAAATGTCCTGCCCCTAATGACATGGCAAGTGCACTCAGGAAGGGGGGAGGTAAGTGGAGCCACGTCCACAGCCAATTAAATATGTGTTTTAACCCAAGGTTGCACCGTAAGTTGCTGAGCACTACAAACCCTGGTCTGCAGCATCTGCTTATGAAGCCCTACAAGGGACTGGAGTTGAGGAAAGAGCCAGATCCCCAGGATGAGCTGCAGCTCCCTCCCAAAGACAGCACAGAAGTTTAAGTTAAAATGTAGAAAATCCTTATGTACTTCTTAGAAGCTAAGCACTTCTGCTGTCTTTTCACATAAATTCAGAAGCCCTGATAGCTTAGAGGCAACATCTTACTCCAGCTAACAGGCACTCAGCTAGTGGCCAAGTGGGCAAACACGCCAAGGAGAGATGGCCTGAGATGCTGTCCTCTGGCAGATGTAGCTCCTGGCCTCTTCCCCCCATGGGAGAGGCTCAGGCTTTGCTTACCTTCCTTGACCAACACACTGGTTTCCTGGAAATCCAGAGTAAGGATCTGCACATCTAGGTGGGTGATGGTTAGGCCCAAATCTTCTTGCCATGTGCTTGGTGCCCCATCCCACAAGGATCTCTGTTTCTCTCCCCAGATATGAGCCTGAGTCCCTGGCACAGCCCTGCTGGAAGCGAGCTAGACGCCCAGGGAGCTTCCAGAAATTCCTGGGGTACATGCTGCTCTCAGTGGCTTGTTTCCTGCATCCTGTCCTCATCTGGCATGTTACCATCCCTGGTGAGGAGTCCGTGCTGGGGTGGGGAGTAGTGCAGGTAGAACAGGAACATGATCTGTCAAGGGTCAGAGAGGATGGGGATGTAGGGGGTGATGGACTGGTTGCAGATGGTGCTGAGATAGCTAGACTAAGGACTGCTTGGCAAGCTGTTCACCTTGCCGCAGCCCTCAGCCAACATGGCTTTCTCCCCAGGGTCCATGCTGGTGCTCACTGCCCTGGCCTACTTCCTGTTGAGCAAGAGGAGCAAGAACCCAAGGCACAAGGAGGCGCAACCCCAGGCGGGCCAGTATGTGGACCCTTCAGCTACTGTGGCAGCCCCAACAATTGCTGGTGACACTGAGCAGACCTACACCTTCCATGGGGCCCAGAGGGAGCAGCACTGCTCACTGCTGGGCCATATGAAGAGCATCCTGAAGGGTAGTAAGGACAGGGGCCCAGCTCCAGCACCTCCTGCCCAACCGGCAGCTCCACCAGCCCCACGCAAGCAAGTGCACTTCCAGGAGAAGGTGGTGCAGATCATCCCCTCTGTCAGCGAGAGCTTGGAGGACCTGGAGAGCGAGGCTGAAGAGACCACATCAGATACAACACCCATCCTCACTCCACCTGATGCCCCTGTCATCCTCGCTCCCCTCAGCTCCACAGGACTCTTTTGAGCCCTCAGCAGGAACAAGGATGGGACAGACCTGCTATCCCTGACACTAGCATCTCTCCCTGCATTTGGCAGCAGCCAAAGGGCCCTAAGAGGTGGCCCTCCTTGCCCTCCCTGCCTCCAGGGTAACAGCTCTGTCTCTTCTTCTTCAGGGGGCTGCCCATACTGCATGGTCCCACACCTTGTGACAGGGCCAGTGGCAGTCCCCAGCCCCTGCAGTGCCATGCCCAGAGGACAGGCAGTGGTTCAGCCAGTGTAGTGCCAGGACAGTAAGGTTTCTGGTCCCATAGCCTCACATGTGGGTCACCCCTCTGCTACAGCACTATACATCACAGAGTCTGCTCCTGCCTAACATCACAGCCATGGCGTATGCTTCCCATGAGGCAGCAGCTGGCAGGAGGTGAGACCACCATGCCCCCTCTCACTACATGTTGAAGAACTCAGGGCTTGTGACACATTCAGCATAGGGCACCACAGCCTGCACGTTCCCTTACAGCACCTGCACCAGCTGCAGCAGGCCCAGGGCACCCGGAACATCATTTCAAAGGTGGGCTGAGACCAAGCACACCCCTGCGGGCTAGCACAGACTAAGTGCCCTCTCCTGAGACACACTGAGCTCAGGAGGGAAATCAACTCTGCCCTTGGGGACATCTACACAGGAGCAGGGAGGGCCCAGGGGCTTCCTGGTGTCCCCTGCCCCAACAGCCCTCTTGGGTTAGAAGAGCTTTGGGATGATGTGACAGCTCAGGTCATGAGATTCAGCACCGCACTGGCACAGTGGACTGCGTGTAACTCCCAAGGTGTGTTAATTATGTGTCCCAGAGGGCAAAGGCAATAATAAAGTTACAATGTTGTCCCACCAGTCCTCTCAGTACCAGATCTTCCGTGAACCCTTCACCTCTGTCTTAATCCTACCATATTTTCTGCCTTTTGAGGACCGTTCACCTATAGACAGTTATTTCTCTCCTGTTCAACTCATCCCCTTGGCTCTTTTCCACCTGAGGACTAAGACTTTCTGCTTCCAGATGGCAAATGCTGTCTGTGCCTGCAGATACCATCACCAAGAGCTCTCATCAATATCAGGCAATTCTTTTGGCTGCACATGGGAAAGAGCTTAGGTGGCTAGTTTTTCTCAGACATGGGACATGAGACCACACTGTCACCACTACTGGGATGAAGAGCTGTAACTGCTCGAAGCCCAGTCACACAGCATTGGGGTGAAGTGGTGGTAAGAAGATCCTTGAGACCTGCTAGACTATTTATAAGGTAGAAGCCAGTGAGGCTGACTGTTTTTCTTGGAAATACATTATTTCTTCTTTTTAAAATCTCAGCTCTCCGAGCTACAATCATCATGTTCATTTAGGAAAGCAGTGTAGTTTGAAGTGTGAAAATGTAAAGTGTAAGTGTTCAAAAATCAGAAGGCAATTGAGATAAGAACCCAGTGCTACTTTTTAATAAATGCTTTTTAAGTGACTCTTAATTTGAGAGATGGATAAGGAAGAAAGTGGAAGATAGTGACTCACAATATTTGACTGCCTGTGTTTGATAATGAAACTTGTCCACAGGAGCAGCTTATGAATGGTTGCACACACTTGTGATTTCTACAATCAGACATAAATAACAAGCTTCTTGTTGCATCACCAAGATTTAAAATGATAGCTGGTATCAATCTCTTCTAAACATGATATATGGATTAGAGCCCTCCTCCTTCTGGCTGCACAAATTAACCCTCCACTCTGCAATTGCATGTTGGGGAAGAGTCACGTACACATCTGCCTTTAGGGAGGTTTTGCACATGCAAAAATGTCTTCAGAAAATTGTGCCTGTTTACAGACTAACACTGCACAACTGATAGCAGCAAGCCCAGTATCCAAATACAGCTCCACCCTTAAACTACTGTATTCATCACATTAAAAAATGAAGTTATTCTCCTCTAAAGCTGCTGGCCAAACAGCATACCTTTGCCAACAAAGGTCCTGATCCAGCCATACTAACAGTGTACCCACCCTTGCCAATTCTGTCCAGAGAGGCTGTGCTCAGAGTTGGCTCCCCAGCACAATCACACATCTGATCTGCAATTAGACCCACTCTCATTAGCAAACTCATCTTTCTGCATCATCCAAGGCTCTTCTTTGAACATTGCATAACTAATTATATGCACAGAGATCAGGTTTGTTGAAGAGGCATTGCTCCCAATAGATCAAGCTATCTGCTGACAAGAGAAAGACCACATTTCTGCAGCCTCCTCTCTAGCCCCAAGCAAAGCTCCAGGGCAGCCCGGGTGGGGACAGCTGCTCTGTGATAAATTTCATCCTTCAGCCCTTAGTCAGCCCCATTCTGGTGAAGCAGCAGGGCCGGCTGGCAAGGGGAGAAGCAATGCAGTGAGAGCACCCATGGCACCCTGAAGTGTGTGGGGGAGCAAATTCCATTGCTCTGTGAAAAGTATAAAATGAGCTTGCAATTATTATTGTCTGCAGAACTAGATATTTCAGTTTTTAGGCTCATCTTTTGAAAGCTATTGTAGGTTTCCCTTGGGAAGCAACACTGGGGGAAGCTATAGGTGAGGTGGTTGTTCAGCCTTCCTGGAGACAGCACTGGAACTAGTTTCTTTCTTGACTGCTCCCTTGTGTCAGCCTGGCTATTCTCCAGCCATACAGGTAGCTGGCTCAGGATATGAACACTGGGAAAAAGCTGGTCATCTTTTCTGTGGTATTTAATTGCCTGTTCAGTTAAGGTTCATGGCTGTCTTACCCTGGAGTCTGCCAAGAGCCTGCACCAGTACCAGGGAAGTAGATGTTCCTCCAGAAGCAGCCAGGTTGTGCCCCAAACAGCATCAGATGAGTGTGATCCTACCACAGGGGCTAAGCTGCCCCTGCCAAGGAGTCCATTTGTACATCCCTACTCTGCTCCTCACTACCTGTCCCACCCCATGTGCTATCAGCATACAGAGCTTGTTAGACCAGAGATAAAATAATTAGGAAAAAAAAAAGTGGGTGGCTATCTTCTTGGGTAATGAGCCAAATAAATTAATGGAAGGAAGGGCCAGCCGCAAAATGAAGGGGATGGGGGATAAAAGCACTTCTTTCAGAGGCAGCAGGCTGTTAGAGCAGCTCAACTGCTTAAAGAAATGCAGCCTCAGGCTTTCTTTAAAATCCCAGTGCAGAGGAAATGTTCAGCCTCAGGGGGTGTCAGATGACTTTATAGAGGGCTCAGAGATTATTCACTCAAGTGTGCACTACTCTGTTGGCCCCTCTCCCTACTTCTAGCTGTGAGGGTCACCCCAGGGACTATTGAAAGCACCAGAGATGCTGTAGAGAGCTGTTGGGGGGTCTGTATATTAAATATGCAGGGTAATTGCAGGAAAAGAAAAAGAGGAAGAGCTTGATGTTATTAACTGTGCAGTGCAGTGGTATCTGAATGTGAGCTGCCTGAGCTCTAAGTCCACACAGCACTATATGAACACTGCTTTAAAATTTTTGCCTGCATTACAGTTTAGTCATGATACAGCTAATCCACTGAGATTAATCCACTGAGTTATGGGTGTATAAAGCTATAAACTCCTATGGATTCACATACTGAAAGGAAACAAGGTGAATCATCCAAAAGAAATACATGTGTAAGGTAAAACTCTGTGAGGTAATCCTGGCAGAAATTGTTTCCTTCAAAATTTCCTCCAAAGATTTCCCTGCATGAGGAAAAATATCCTTCCTTTGCATGTACATGTGCAGTAAAAACACTCTACAATGCTACTTGATAGCCCCCATCACAACTTAGTGAACTAAAACCTGATTTTAGTGCAGGCTTTAGTTACAATTCTTCTCCACCTCCAGTGCACACTAGTACAAGTAGTTGTTTCACAGCCCCAAAGGCAGGTACACTACCTGCCCACCACAGTGTTCCCTCCTCATGTCAGTTGCTTAGATAGTCACCCTCCAAACGCCTTACCTCCCCCTGGGGACTTTGGGCCCCAGTTTCTCAGAGCATTGCTCTGTATTTGAAACATGGGTATGAATGGTTTACCCATGAAAATAAGGTACATTTGGAGAGAAAAGTGTTCAGTTTCTGCAATGTCAGTACTCAAAATAAGATGTGCTGCTCATATCTGCATGTGCAACAACTCATGGCTGCAAGCACTGATACTGGCATTAGTGGCATGGGTGGCTCCTAATACAATATTGAGTCATGTCCACATGAAGGAGAGGACCTGTCTCTGCTCGATTACAAATGCTGCATGCTCACACACCTGCAATCCTACCACTCCTCAGCCCTGAACCTTCTCCCATCCCATTCAGGAGATTCTCCCATGTGCTTGGCCAGAAATGCAGGTTCTGTTTTGGCTGGACTCCTGCATTTTGTGCTGTGCAGGAAGTTACAGGAACGAGAAACCAGCTCCAAACCTGCCTGGGATTTCTCAGAGCTGACAGCTCCTTTCTCTGCTTGGCATGGTGTGGGCAAAAGCAGGATCTGGCTTCCAGCTGCTATGTATCAGCTTGCATACCACTGGTGAAATAACTGCACTTAGGTTATATCCTAGTGAATGATTAAGGTACCTTTAGGAAACTAATTCTAGGCAGGTATTCACTCAGCATGTGACTTTACTGAATCTTGTTTTGAGGCTTTATGCAAAACACCAGGAACCTGATTTTCCAACCCAGGTGTTTGCATCACAGACTAAAGAGGGAATCCATATTTCAGACAATAAAAAAAAAAAAACCCAAAAACAAACCACCAACAACAAACCCACAAAAAAACCCAAAAAAACCCCAAACCAAACAAACCAGAAGACTAACGTTTTCTGGCAGTTCCTCCTCATTCCAGCCTGTACCTAAAGAGGACTTTGTACAGCACAGAAGAAAGTTGTGAACAGCACCTTAACACTTTCTGCCCAGCCTCTCCTCCACCCCAACCTTGTTGTCTACCCCAGAGCTGGCCTCATTCAGAAGAGCTATTTAAAAAGAAATATCATGAACAACCCATGCAATACAAAATTATACATACTGTGGCTTTATTGCAGAGTTCCTCCCTGCCTTAACTCTCACTGACTCCCTCTCCAAAACTCCCCTGTAAGAGGTACTTGCCCAGATACCCAATCTTGCTTATCAATCCCCAGCTCCCTGCTGGCACCCTGCTCCCCGGCTGGTGCATCACCCACTGCACCTATGCTTGCTCTCCCTGGAGAGCCACATTTGCAGCTGCAGTTTTGGGTGAGGCTTCCAACACTGCAGAAAGATGTAACACCTACCAAGTTGTGCCTAGAAGCTAAGAAGATGGCAGCCACAGGGGACATGCCCAGCAAAAGGAGACTATATGGCAGCCCTAACTAAAGTTTTTCTGTTGTTTTGGTGCAAACCTCACCTTCTAACTCTTGATGCCTGCTGGTGTGCTAATGATTTTGCATCATAAAAAAAAAAAGAGGTTTTTTTCAGTAACATTTTTTGCTAGACTATTACTTCCTTCAATAACATGAGAAAACAGAAGTACACAAAAAGAGTTTTACTACGCACAGAACTGAGCTGAAGAAGCTCTTCTACATTGGCTACTCAGCCATCCTCAAAAATTCTCGGGGGGAATTTGGTCTACTGACAGTACTTCTGAATTTGATATAGTAGCACTACATTTCTTCTTTTCAAGATGGAAGGCTTTGTCTGTGTTCTTTATTACCTCTTCCACTCTTGTGACTACTGAGGAGACAACCCCCAGCATGGGAAAAAGCCTCTCTCCCAGCACAATCAGATGAAGGGAGCACATCCCATTTTATCTCACACTGCAGAGCTATGTCCTCATACCCTGTGCGCGGGAAGACTGAGGCTGTCCATGAAGGTGCAGGTATATTACAACATTCGGATCCTCTCATGCTCCCAGATCTGGGGGGTGAAGTTGCATGGGCCAGGCAACCTGAAGCTCTTCCCTGGACATTTGAGGCAGCATGGCAGGGAAGCTGATCTCGGAGGCTCTTGAAGGGAAGGGTTTGGGAAGGGAATTAGACCTTTTAGCCACACCTTCCCTTCAAAAACCCAGGCCCAGGCATGAAAGTGAACGCCATCTTATTCCTCTCAAATTAATTATTATTCCTTCTCAGCATCTCTTTCTTGTGTAAGCATCTGCAAGCTCAGAAGAAATCATCAGTTGCATAAATGGAAATCAAAGTGTCTTCTCCAGCAACAGACATGTTATATGTTTCACATTGAGACTGCATGTGGTCACAGTGTAAAAATATGACTAACTTATTGTCAACATCTCTCATGTAGAAGTGCCATAAGAAAGAAGTTGCAAATTCCCGTTTTCTGGTTTGGAAATAGAGAAGGCTCTGCTGTTATCATTACTTCTCCTGGCTCTTATCCAATACTAAATTATCACATTTAAGCTATAATCATTTTATCAACCTGATGCTAACTTGTTTTATGATTCCTTTACTTCCAGCTAGTAGTCACAGGCACAAACATTCCCTCATTCGAGCTGATTCTTTCTAAATCAAAATTCCAAACGAAAGCACAACATAGTCCCTCTGCTAATGTATTTATCAGATAGTTATAAATACAAATTATCCTTAATTTTTGTATCCTGATCTTATTCATAGGTTGCTGTTACTGTATATCTTTGTTTTCCACTTACATAACACTTTCAAACATGGAAAACCTGGCACAAAATGGCAAAATATTTTTTGCTTTGTGTCTTGCAGCTACAATTAAGAATGACCCAAACACATTAACTCCATCACTTGTCTTTCCTGAAATAGCCCCACAAGTATGAGTTACTTCATGAATAGTGAACACTGCGTTTTCAGAAAAGGTACCATGACAGATCATGTGATACAAACTACCACACAAAGCAAAGGCAAACATACCACACAGAATTGATATTGCCATGGAAATGTCATTGCAGCCACTGTGCTGGTTCTGCTCTGAAACAGCCTCCTGCGTGCCGTTCTGGACAGACTCAATTCTTTCTTGTTACTTGCTTAGAGCTGTAAATGACAGCAGGAAAATACCCAGAGTTCGGTTCCTGCTGCCTGTCTGCCCAAGTATTTGCTGTGTTTTCCTCTCTTGTGTGGCTGACACCTGTGAAATGCTCCTACAGCCACCCAGGACTGCATGGAACTATAATGCAAAAGCTGTTTTGTTACTCAATAGTTTTATTTAAAAAGTAATTATTTGAGTTACTGCCCCACAAGCAGCTAAGTCAGTAAAACAAAAAAGTGTAAGAAAAATCAGCTTAGGCAATGTCTTAAACCTTTTTTATAAGACTGTAACTCCCATGTTACTGGCATTCAGATGAACCTTTCAAACTGATATTTTTTTACTTGCTAAAAAGATTATACATCTCGGGCAATCACAGGGAAAATTACAAGCTGAGTGGGATGCAACCAAAGCTAGTCTCAAGTAGAAAATCATTAATGATAATTTGTAATCAATTTTTGCAGAGATTTCATGTAACAATAATTAGAAATTACAAGGTAAATCACATTTCTAAAAACATTCATTTTTTTTTACAGTCTCTATGTTTTTTAATGATGTAGTTACTAAGATAAAATGTATTTTTACTCAGAGCATTTTGCCTTTGTTCTATTCTTTTGAGAAAAAGTTTGACAACCTTTAGAATTTTTCTTATGAAGCTGTGTATATGGCTCAATACTTGCATAGGATAGATGCTAGAAAGAAGATGTACTGAAGCCAAGTAGAATTTCTGTTTTATGATTTATATTTCATTTATATTTCATTTGTTCTATCTAATCATGTTTAAAATCTTATTTATTCAAAATAGTCATGAGAAACTTTAACAGACCTCTGAGTTCACAAGTCTATAAATTTACTCTGCCTTGGATGAACCGCTCACAAATGGCTGTGTACAAAAAACAGTCAGGGAATAGTTTTATGGGCAACATCTTAGAAATCACATCTACTATACATGTCTGATACTCAGAACAAGACCTGAGACAACAGGTTGCATTGTAGTCTCTTATATAAGAAAGAATATATTGACTTCCAGGAGGATACATGGGTCAGAGAATAGAGTAGATAGAATGGACTAGACTAGACTAGACTAGACTGAACTGAACAGGAATGGAAAGGAAGGGAATAGCTTCAGCTAATATAAATATAATTCTGATGTAGGTGAAATTGCTGAGGGCTGTTCATTGATGGAACAGAGCTGAAGCCCAGAGGTAAGTTAGTGTTTCTGTTTTAAAATTAGGATAATTTCTCAAATGTACATTTCCCCCATATCTGCTTGTCCCCTCTGCAAACTAAAAAAGGCCATGTCAACTGCTGTTAGTCTGGAGAAAGAGACCAATGGTATGACATTGAAATGTTACTTCTTCAGATCAGTCATCTGATTTAGTAGAAGAAAGTCAGTAACTAGAAGTACTGGAATTTCACTTGGGGTATTGATATACCTGAACACTTGGTTGGATGTAAAGACATATAGTGAACAGAAGAGAAACAGTTGTGAGGCAAGAAGATACATATGAGGATCATGAAGACATAATAGAAAAGGGTGAGTGGGAAAGATGAGAAACAGGAGGAATTTATGAAAGGCTGAAGAGCTGAAAAAGGACAGGTAGGTAAGAAAACAGGACAAGAAATGGAAAGCAAACAAAAGGGACAGAAGGTGCTGAGGGACATGCAAGAAAACAGTGGGAATAGAAGTCATTGACAGGACTGCAAAGAAGACTGAAGTACAGAAGAGTAGACAAGGGACAGGATACCAGCTAAGTTAGGAGATGGCCTCGTGTCATGAACAAGGACAGGGTAAATAAAGATTTGTGTCATTCATCCTGAGCTGAAGCATGGCAAAGTATAGTCGAATTTAGATCTGAAATTGTCACGTGTATTAGGAGTGGTTCCTTCCCCTTCAAAGACCAGAGATAGACTAGAGAAAGCAAACATAAGCAAACATGTGGATGCATGATAATTAATTACCCTGTATAACTTCTCCATCAGCTTTTTAATTCTGCGATGGTTTGAACACGTTGTGTAATATACTGCTTCTTGCAGCATAGCTGTGTGGTTTTGTGGTACAAACAGTGGGACAACGTGCACCACAGTGCAGATGGACATGACTGGATTGTGCACCAGGGTGTGTATGGGAATGGCACGTTCTTATAGCACCACAAATGCAGCTAACCAGCTTTTCCTCAGTCCTTATGGGAGATACCACATCTTTTCATGCTACAATTGTATTTAGCAAAACAGGCTCATCCTAAATGACCTCCCCTATCTATTACTAATAAACAAGACAAATGTACATTTCATATTAAGAGCCTGCTATTTCATTTTGTGTCACTCTGGTAAATCCACATTGCTTTGATGGGAAATATCAGGATGATTGCCCCTAATTAGGTGCAGTTACATTATTTGTGACTGTGATTTCCCAGACAGAAATGCATGTGTGCATGCTGGGTAGCTGACACATAGTGCTTTTGATGTTTCAAAGGCAGCAAACCCTCTGGAACTAACACGCTAACAGGGCTAATCTCTGCAGCACATGCTTTTCAGTTACACACACATTCTGTTGTACAGGTCTTGTAAGCACCATGGACTGTTGCATGTAAGGAAACATACCATGACTAGAAAAGTCTGTGCAAAAAGTAGCCTCACCACCAGAATTAATACCAAATCCAAATATATATATGGGAAAAAAAAATAAAAAACAAACAAACAAACAAACAA